GGTGATTCCCAGCCCTCTCATTTGTCTGGGTCTCTCTGCAAGGTGTCTCTGCCTTGGAGGGAGTCAACACCTCCCAGTTTAGCGATTTCTTCTCTCCTGTAATTGTACAGTTCATTTCTCTTGAAGTTGTTACTCCAGGTAGCTCTCACTGTGCCTACTGCAGTTATTTCTGGCCCCTGCTCTCCTTTGCTGAAGGCTGATTCCCCTCCACTCTAAAGGGTGCAACTGAAAGCACAAAGTGGAGGATTTGCATCACAAATGAGCCCAGGCTTTACTGAAATAGCTGTGTACTGCCCAGGTTGAAATGCGGAAACTTGGTCTCTTCCTCAGTTTTGACTTTGTAAAACGTGTTGGGAGGCTGGATCTCACTTGGTTTGGCCAGGCTGGGTTGGAGCTGGTGTCCAGCTGGGAGGCCAGCAGGAACTGGGAGAGCAGCAGCTCCTTCCCAGCAGGACAATGGGCAGGAAAGCATCCTCTGCCAGGACAGCAGGGCTGGAGCAGCACAGCTCACTGCATCCCTGGCTGGATCTCTGCACCTCTGCCAGCTCTCCAGGAGGCACTCAGACCTCATCATATCAACAGCTCTTTCTTAGGAGGCATGAATCAGACCAGCCTTTTCAAGCCCTTGTCATATGCAAAAAAAAAAAAAAAAAAAAAGCCTTTTTTAAGGTTAAAACATTTAAAAAAGCCAACAAATCCCACATATGTGTGTGTGTGTGTGTGTATATATATGCATCTGTTTATGTACGTGTATTATTCATCTTCTGAAGCTTTTTTGCATGTGTGCTTGTTTTGGCTGAGGTAATTTTCTTCCCAGTGGCTGGTGTAGGGCTGCATTTTGGATTTGTGCTGAGCACAGCGTTGATGGTATAGAAATGTTTTTGTTATTGCTGAGCAGGGCTCACTCAGAGCCAGGTCCTTTCCTGCTTTTTGTGCTGTCACACTGGGGAGGAGGTTGTACTTTAGCAACAGGTAAATGGAGGTGTTGAATAGATGTTTTCTGTTCCTGAATAAAATCCCCAGACTAACTTCTGTGAGGGGATTCTGGAGTTCATGATCTGTAATGCTGTCTTTAAGATTGTTGAGTTAAAGCTGATCTTGTCAAATTAATCCTTTAAAAAGAAAAACATAGAGAACAGATTTTTGAACTTTCAGTCTAACGTCTTCATCTTTACTCTCAGTTAATGTTTGTGTTGTAACTTGTGCTTCCTGGAATCTTAGCTACTCAGGGCATGCAATAAATTCACTGATTTTAGAATTCTGTGAGAGGATTATTAATGTCCTTATTCCTACTAAAATTTCCATGGAATTTGGATTGTCTGCTGAGTGTTAATTGCATCCTTAAATGTAGCAAGTTTTCTAATTGTTTCAGCACTTACCAATAAGAAAAAAACTTTTGTCTGGTTTGAATAAATGTGGTGTACTTAAAAAGAAAATACCCAGGACTTCAGAAGTGCCTCATGTCCTTGTGAGTTGGCTGCAAATAGGACACTTGGAAATGAAGCATCCTGGTTGAATGGGATGGTTTCAAAGGATGCCTTGGCCACTTTCCTCCTCCCGGTGCAGTGACATCAAAGAAATCCCATTTCTCCTGGAGAGTTTGTGTTCTCCGGGGACTCTGTGGCCTGGAACAGGATTGCACACTCAGATGGTAGCTCATAGCAGTGAGTGATAAAAACATTTTACATAACTTGAAACCAAACTGAATTGCAGGACGATATGGATGAGTGATGCAGAGGAGGAGGAGAGGAAAATAGTGTAAACAGAAATAAAACTTACGTAAGAGCTTAATGCTGGGTCAGACTGAAGTGTCAGATCTTCTGTCTCAGCTGGTACTCGGTTCTTAAAAAGGAATTCATGTGAACCAGGCATGCTGAGAGTCTTTAAACCAGTGAAAGTTCCCTGGTTTTGTTGTTCTCCCTGCACTTTGACTGGGAGGTGAGAAGAGTGGTGTTAACAGGGTTGTGTTCATGTTGCAGTTTGTTCTCAGATGCTTCTGATAAAAGCATTAAAACACTGCTGAGCTCAAGCACTGCTTTCATACAGTGAAAGCTTTGCCTCAGCTGCCTGAAGACCCTGGTGGAGCAGCTGAACATCCCTGAAGGAGCTGCGGGTATGCAGTGGGTAGAAGCTGCTATTTCAATTTGTCTTGATTTCTCTCTGTCCAAATGAATTTTATTTGGCAATAAATTTAATTTTTCCCAGGTAGTTTTGCCTGTGATGGTAACTGGTAATTTCTCTGTCCTAATCTCAGCCCAGTAAATTTTTGCAATTTATTATCTCCCCTTTTCATGGGTGAGGAAAGGCACAGTGACAAAGTGGCTCAGAGGGAGGCAGAGAGCCTGGAAGGACTGTCCCAAACCCATCTTGGGGTGGTGTGACAATGCAAAATTATAAAACAGGGAGTCCTGGTTCCAGCCAGGAGAGGTTTAATTTTTACAATAGGCACAAGGGCTCATGGCCAGGACCAGGAGTTTATTCTGTACCACCGCAGCCATTCCTGGGAACAGGGGAAGGGGCCTTTGGGAAGGACCCAAAGGCTGGGGTTTTGGGAGAGCTGCTGTGGAGACAGAGGGAGTTAAAGAGCTGAATCCCAAGGCATTATCCAGATGGTAATATCATACTCTTTCACAGCTTACTTGGAAGTTTAGAAAGCAGCTCTCACTGAAAACAAGCAGGATATAACTTAAAAAAAATATTTTTATGTCTTTCTTGCATGATTTCAATGACCAGTAAGCTACTGTACACCCCAAGCTGATTAAAATGTGAAGTAAGCTTCTGAAAATTTCAGAATGTTTCCTTTCATTCAGGCACATTAATCTTTCCATATTTGTTTTAGGAAGCTTCTTCTGCTTCTCTTAAGGGGTTTTCACCATCAGCAAAAGAGCAAATCGTGTCCTAATGTGCAGAGGTGTTCCTTTAGAGGCACTGCTGTTATGGGATGAACACCATTAAGTTCAAGGGTAATGAGATGAGGATGAGACAAAGAACAGGGAAGAGTGGCAGAAAATGGAATATATCATGCCCCACTGTGGCATGCAAACAAAAGGAACAGACAAATCCCGCCTATCTCTTAATCTTTTCTGGCCTTGTTTTCTTTGCCAAGTTACAAGGTCTCTGTACCTAATTGTGGATCAAGGTCTTCCCCTTCCCCAGGAAAGAATGTGGATGTGCAGCCCTTGGGTCACATCACTTCTGTATTTGCCTCTTGTTTCACCTTCCCCACCCTTGAATGTCTGAGGGCTGGGAACTCTACTTTGTGGCTGTGCTAGAAAACCCTTGGGAGTGAGATAATATGATCAGTTCAACAGGAACAACACCACAACAAACTAAAAACACCCAAAACCCAAAAAAACCCAACAAAAAAATCCAAACCCACTGAATTTCATGCATGATCAGATAAAGAATGCTTGGATCTAGCATCAAAATCTTGATGTGAACCAATTTTATGCTGTTCCTTAGCTAAGAATTGCATTTGGAGAAAGTAGAGGGTGGACGGGGTTTATAAGACATCCAGAAATTTTAAAAGTTCTTAGAAAATGCAAGCAAACAATAGATGGGGAAAAAATTAACTGATGGCTGAATAAAATCAGCAATTCTAAGGTGTAAATAAGGACTGAATAAGATTGGCAATTGTAAGGTATAACACAATAATATAAAATATTAACAAACCCCTTAGCCTTAGTGCATACAATTCAGCTAATTTCTTTGCATCTATTTAAAAAGAAGATAAAAATTGTTTTAACTCTGGCAATGTGAAGGGTTAAAACACTTCAAAACCATGCTTTGTGTATGAAAATGGTAATTCCAGTCCTCTCCTAAACAGTGGGATTGAAAACCATCTCAGAAAATGAGGCTCTGTGATATTGCCAGGCCCTCTTTGCAGACCAACAATATGTTTATATTCTGGAGTTAGGATAAGATTCAGATAAGAGCCCATTTTCAGTTGTTTGTTCTAACTGAAGTGATAGGTTTTGCAGTTTGCCAGTTGCTGAAATGCTTTGTATGAAGATCAAAAAAGAAACATTTCCTTTGTGTGAGGGGCAAGTATTTCTGTGTGAATATTTGGGGATTTTTTTATTATGTAAAATGATATTTTTTAAATGGAATTTCTAGAACTCTCTTCTGAATGAAGCAATATCTGTTGTATTTTTTTAATGTTTCTAGTATGCAAGGCTGTTGTGCTGGCTCTGTGTTTGCCCTCTGTTTATAAACAGTGTTGAGGATCATGCATCATCTGCCCTGGACTTCAAGATGATGACATCTGGACTTCATCCTCACTCACAATGCTGTAGCACTGACACTTCAAACAAACTCAGCAAACACTAAAAAAAAGAGCACAACTTACAACCATTCCACAAGCATATCTGTGTGCAAACAAAGGGCTAAAAGACTCGTTTCGCTGGAAATAATTACAGTTTTGGGGTTTTTTTGTCTTGGTTTGGTTTTTTTTCCTCCTCTTCCCTTTTCCTGGCTTTAACTTATTGAACTTTTTAGCTAAGGCATGCAAACAAAGGGCTAAAAGACTCGTTTCGCTGGAAATAATTACAGTTTTGGGTTTTTTTGGTCTTGGTTTGGTTTTTTTTCCCCCCTCTTCCCTTTTCCTGGCTTTAACTTACTGAACTTTTTAGCTAAGGCTGCCTGAAGGCACAGAATTACAGATGGTGCTCACTCATCCTGAAATTAAAAACTTCCTCTTTGCAAAGGTAATTGTTTCCAGTTGATACTTGCCACTTGAAGGGGATAAGTCAATCATTTCTAGAACGAAAATAGCTCTTACTTTCCTGAGAAGGGAAACTTCCTGACAAGGAGGGAAAAGAGATTGCATCTTCTTTCCTTCACCTAATTTTAGGTGTCAGACCCACACACAGAAACTTTGGCAGAAACAGGGAAAAGTTGCAAGACTTCCTTGATATTTGTAGTCTATGAATGCAAAAATGTAAGTGGAAAAAGCAGATAATATATTTGAAAATATTTAATGTTTCAAAACTTTCTTACAGAGGCTGGTCTTCGAGATCTAGAGCCTGTAGCCTTTTTGAAATTTGGAGAACTTTGAACAGCAGATCATGGAACCACTGCAAGTGTATGTAAAAAGAATATGCCATTTATAGTGTGCTTGATTATGTTTCTCACCCCCATTGGAAAAAAAAATCCTGAATGATGGTATCTATTTAAATAAACATCTTTACAGTCAGAAATATAAGACAGGTTCTTTCTATGACTTTTGATAAGCTTCTTGAGGGCATGCTGGCTAAGGATGTTCTAATTATTTAGCAGCTCCAGACTGGGAGTAGGAATCTCTGGTGTTTTTTCTTTACTGCTCAGCAGAGATGCAAGGCCAGAGCTTGAGGGAAATGAGCTGTGCCATTTCTCACTGGGTTTCATAAATGTATACAGGCAGTAAAGGCCTGCTGAGTTTTAGGAGTCCTGCATCTATTTCAGCTCTGAAGAATATCTCCTTTAGGGTTACAAATTTCTTATCTGAACTTTCCTGTTTTTAGGAAAGTTTCTCTGAAGAATATCTCCTTTAGGGTTACAAATTTATTTTCTTCTGAACTTTCCTCTCATTGCCTTTTTCTCCCAACTCCTCTCTCCAACCCGTATCCCAGGCTTTTATTGTCCCCGTTTGCCCTCTTGGAAAGAAACAAACAAACAATTGACAGCTTCTATTTGTGTCTTTCAAACACAATTTTGACATCTTTTATTTGTGTCTTTGAACTATTTCTGAGCTGTGTCAGCAGAAAAGCTGCCCTGAGTGCACACTTGAAAGTGATACAAGCAGCTTTGCATGCAAGCTCTCAGAAAAGTTTCTGTGACTGAGATCTGAGCAGCAAGACCTAAATCTGGTGCTTAATTTGAATCATCCCAGTGAGCTGGACTCAATCAATAGCTGCCTTTGCTTTATTCAGGAACAAACACACTTCAGGTCATTCCTGTTCCTGTCAAAACAAGGCCATTTCCTACTGTCTGTTTGCACCTTGATTTACTTTAGCTGAATCTGTTAAGGGTTGCACTTTAGGACATGTGAAATTAGCAGCAGCTACCTAAAATTTGTGTTCTCTCAGGGAAACCAGGTGCTTGTATTTCCCATTTATGACTCATTTTTTCAAGGGGAGCAAAGAGGAATGAGGCCCAAAGCACAGCTTTGTAAAATTATTATAAAATGTTCAAGGGAAGGCATAAGAGCTGTAGTTCTAGTAAAAGAGAAAGGGGAAAGGGGAAAAAAAGAAAATAAAAAGAACTGCAGAACCTGCTCCAGTAATGGGAGAGAAGAACTTCACACAAAACCTCCAGGTCCATGGAACACCCTGAGGCTCCTGAGATATTGCAGGATCTGTCTCGATGCCTGACTCAGTAAGACTCAACTGAAAAACTCCTTGTGCTTTTCAGGACTCTGGTTTTGGAACTGAAGAAGTGTTTGCAGGCTGGAAAGCTTGTCCGTGTTTTTTTGTAGTCCCACTATGCCAGCTGCTCTAGAAAAAGTTGTTATCTCCTGCAAATCTTTCTCCTCAGGAAAAAAAAAAGTGTATTTATGCTGTTTGATTTGGTTGGGTTTTTTTTTCCACTTTCAGGACTGATTCACACAAATAAAAACCTTATTACTGTTTTAACAGAACTCTAAGGGATATAAAACCGCTTGCAAATCCCTCTACTTTCTGAAAAGGGAATTAAGGGCTAACAAAGTTAAAGAGGCCACTTTAAAAAGAAAATAAAAGATAAAGCACAGCATGTGCCTAAGTATTTTGCTGACTATGGTGAAATTAGGCATATTCTTGAGTGAAATGGGGCCAAAACATCCTTGAACCGTTCTCCCTGCTGGAAGGTTCAGGGGGGATGGGGGTGCCAAGGGAAAGCTTTTAAACAAAGCTGTGTTAAGTGAGTAATTCCAGTTTCCAGGCACAGCCTGTTTATGAGAAAGGGAGGCTGGCCCATGATAAACACACTGCAGAGGAACTCTTTGGAATTATTTCATGCTTCCATTGCAAACTTCATGAAAAATATCAATTAAACCCAGCCGTGTTAAGAAATTACACATAGCTATTTTGTATCTTCACAATATAATTTAAATTGTTCTTTTAATTAAGGTTTCTTGATGCTGAAACGAAAAGCAACATGTTTAACATAATTTAAGTTCAAAGCTGAAGACAAAATGCTGAGAGTTTTACCTTTTGTGCCTCCAGTTCTTCTCTCCATCCTACCACAGGGAAGAGGGAGTGGTTTAACTTGAAGAATTAAATTGGAGAATACTATTCCCAAACCATGGCACAACCCTCTAAAATTTTGCTGAAATTTTGCTTTTTCTGTCTGTAGTTCAAGACAGAATAAGCAGAACTGCATTAACTGAACGGGGACTGTTAGTTCTTTATGAAAACTGGTAGTTTCAAAAGCATCCCGGTAGTTGCTGGGTACCATGATCAAACAATATATATCACAGAATATTTGCTGCAGAGAGATTGAAAATCAGCTTCAAAGAATCCAGTTTAAAAAGTCGTGGTAATGAGCACGTTAACACTCAGCACCTGTGGAAGGCAGGTCTTTCTCATCACGTTTTTTTCCTCCCAAATTTGCTTATGAAAAAGAATGCTTAGAGAGAAGCAAAACAGCAATTACACCTCCCTTTTTCTTTTTAAGCTCCGAGATGCCTCCAGAAACTGATAATTTGGAAGGACACAAAAGTTAAACTTTTAAAAAACGTAGCTCTATTTAGTCATTGTTCTTATGCTGAGAAAAAGGAAATGTATAGATGGCACTGGAAGCCAGTCTGGTGGCTTGAAAAAGCAGCTCAGGTCAAGGCAGTGAGGGTGGTGAGTGGAGAGGAAAGAAGGTGATCTCATTAATAAAACAAAGCCTGGAGTGTCTTTACAGAAGGATGGATTATGTTGACAATCAAGTGAAGGATGCACTTGAAAGGCAAAGGTGCCGCTGGGATATTTGACCGTAGTGCTCTGAGACAAAGCTTGATTAAAAAACGGAGAGAACAGTCAGTCCTCCATAAATGCAGGATTGTGTCCTGCTGCTCCCCACACAATGGCTCCTTTATGGGCTGCCTCCTGCTCTCTGTGCTGAGCCCCAGCTCTGACAGAACAGGTATGACTTGGACCCTTGAAGATTTTTAATGTTGGGTTGTTGTGGGTTTTTTGTTGGTTTTTTTTTTAAACACACTTCAGATCTCCCAAGGAACACAAAGACTTAGCTTGTTCTGAACCCAGGGTTTTAAAATTCCCCTCAAGTATAAAGAGGAAAAATTAGTACTTTGCTACCTGAAATACAAATAAAGCATCCTTTGACTACAATTACTGAACCCTGGCAAAATATTATTTTAAGCTGGGTAATCTGATGCTATTTCCATGCTAAATAACACTCAAGCCCTACGATAGTAATGTGGAAACTCACTGGCTGAAGCAGGGGGTGTGTGTGAGGGGGAATTATTGTTCATCATAAAAGCAAAGGAATGCAGTTAAGCAGCAAGAAAGGAAAACATGAAATTAATGTATTTCCCCTGTTGTTTTAACAATGCCTGTTTACTGTGGGAGAAGAAAGGTCTTCAGATTAGGAAATCTCACTTGTGGATTAGGAAAAGGCCTCCATCACATCCATCAGTTTTCCCCAGGATATATTGTAATATTTTGCCTGAACCCTTCTGCCATGAAAAAGCTGCTGTCTTAAGTGAAAAAATACTACAATATTTCAGTTTCCAACATACAGAAGTTTTATTGTTTCTGTGAAATTGTTGCTTTGGTCTCTGCCAGACACTTGAGTTGCCTAAACACCTGATGCCTGCACTTGCAATCTCTCTCCCTGCAGAGATCTGGCAGAAGTCCCTCATCTGCTGAAGCCACAGGAGTTCCACACTGATGCAAGAGGAGCATCTTTGCCGTTGGAGTGGGAGCTCTGCTCGCTGTGCATCCAATGAAAATTTTTATTTTGTTGAGTCAGCTCAAAGCACAAAGTGCTTGTTAGTTTTCCCATCCAGTGTTGGACCTCACTCAACAAATAATGAATCATGGGTGTGTTGTGCTTCCATCCTTTTTCACCTTTACCACTTGCTAATTTTGGAACTTGCAGTTTATAATTACAATGCTGAGCCAGGGCTCTTGGCTTGGGAAATGAGAATGTTTTAAAGGGAAGCCTAATAGCTGCATCTTGGTTGAATACACCGTGAAGAGCTGAGTCTGACCTACATTAAAAGCTTAGAGAGCTTTTCATTTTGCAAATGAATAGAGGGCCCTAACACTGAGGGGAAAGCACATATTAATTTCTCTCTAAACCATTGGGATGCACAGAAATAGAAATGGAAGGGGTTTTGTGGGACCTCTCAGTGCTTGTTTTGGGATGTTATGGGGCAGTGCACTTTGTAAGGGTTTGAGTCAGTGCCTGCTGCAGTAACCTGCTGTAAACTGGACTAAGCAGACAATTTGCTTTGCCCTAAAACATCTCCTGAATGCCAGCAAATTAAAGGCCACTTTTATGTTACATGTTTAATTAGTTTTAAGTAATGCAGGTAAAAGAACAGCTGATTAAGTTATTTGCAAGACTTTTCTGATGCTGCATCAGAGAGTTCTGCCTTTTACGCAGAAGACATCCTTGACACCTCGGTTTGGAGTCTGCATCTCATCATGAAGAAGGGAAGCTTTTCATAAGGAGGAAGACAATTTGAGAATAATTTCCTTCCCTGAGGCTGCACCTACAATCAAAGGAGGATATCAGCTATTGCAAAACCCCGAGCATGGGGAATTTTACTCCAGAGGAAGTCCGTGATCAGGGTTCTTCTCTCTTGGGTTATTAAATATTCTCTCAAAATAAATCATCTGATGATTTTCCACTGACTGATACTTAGCTCTGGGAAAGGACAAATTCATTTTGCCAAAATTGCCTCTGAATTAGGATGTTGCATACCCCATTGCTGGGGACATGGACTACTGCAGAAAACACTACAATTCAATTACACTAGTGAATGCAATATTATTTGTGAAATAAAATTGCCTTATTGGATATTTAGCCTTCTTGGATCTTTAAAAAATCATCAAACAAAGTGATTCCCTATTACCTGAGTAAAAAGGAATTAATGAAAGAGCAAAATTATCAGAAAGGTCTGAAAGGAAATGATTATGAGTTATCCTGATGTTAGCAGAGAGTTCAAAAATATTCACATTTGTCATCTGGTTTGTCACCTTTGATAAGCCTCTTTGTCTCCCTCTGCTTCACTTATTTCATCCATGGCATCACCTTCAGTTTCTCCCTACCTTCCTCTCGTGTGTTGATTCCTCCCAAGCACAAAGCAGGGAAATGGATGTTTCTGACTATTTACTGAACTGAAAAATAAAACTCTGTGTTCAACTGGAATAATAATGTTTTGGTCCTTCATCTAAAAGGGCTAAAAACAGAAGCCAAAAAAGTCCCCAACATATTTTCAGTCTTAACACTACTTGTCAGTCTATTGTACGTGATATTTCTTGGGGTTCTCTCTTTTTGTTTTTTCCTCCCTTAAAGAGTTGATAATTTGTAAAACAATAGTCCAAAACTATGAAACCTAAAGGAACATTTCCTTTTGCAATTCTTATGTATTTTGATATTTTATAATGGAATCCTCCCTTGAAAAAATATTGTCCATAATAGGACTTAAAATGCTTCTCAGTGTAACCTGAATTCATTAAAATATGAAGTTTTCGATGAATTTACTGTCCATAGAAAATGTGTGGCCATGCCTACATACTAATAATGAGTAACAACACACTGTTACTCCTATTGATGTCTTGTGCTTTGGCTTTAATTTTACACTGTTTTATTAAAACAATTTCAAAATACATTCTGATTTCAATAAATGCCCCTAGTGCTTCTGATGAACAGTGCATTGTCTGCAATCAACTTTGAAATTTGAAACCTATGGATTTCTCTGGGACATTCAAATTAATTCAGTGTTAGTTTTATCTACTTATCTCACATAAATACCTTCCATCTCTTGAAATTTCTCATCTAAAAGCTATGAAATAACGAAGTAGATAATAAAAACCCAAAAAACAAAACCACACACACATTTTACACTGTTTTATTAAAACAATTTCAAAATACATTCTGATTTCAATAAATGCCCCTAGTGCTTCTGATGAACAGTGCATTGTCTGCAATCAACTTTGAAATTTGAAACCTATGGATTTCTCTGGGACATTCAAATTAATTCAGTGTTAGTTTTATCTACTTATCTCACATAAATACCTTCCATCTCTTGAAATTTCTCATCTAAAAGCTATGAAATAACAAAGTAGATAATAAAAACCCAAAAAACCAAAGCCACACACAAAAAAAACCCAAACAAAAAAAAATTGCACATTTGTAGTGGATTTGTAATGAATTTAGTCATTAAATGTCCTGAAGATGTTGACTTCCTAACTTCTTCAGTCCTGGAATTGCAGAACACTGTGGTTATAGTTCTGGGCTCGCCTGTTCCCAAACTGAGTTTGTCCAGAAAGCATCCAGGGATGCTTTATTTTCATGAAGGGGAAAGTAAATCTTTGGGTGTCTGTGGGGATGTTCATAGGGAATCACAGAGCAAGCTGGAATAAGGTTACTTGATTGCTAAGAGGAAAAAATAGGAGAGGATAATGAGGAAGACAGGTGGTAGGAGGAAAAGTAAAACTGTGATGCACAGCTGAAATGGATTTGTGAAACAGGGATTGTTAACCTGGGGGGTGGGAATGAAAGAACTATAAGAAATGTCACACTGGGGAGAAAAGGTTGTGGACAATTGGAAAACCAAGAATAGGGCATTTATGGTAAAAAATGGAATGGCCTGCACTATTACAGGACTGTGAGAGGAAATGCTGATGTAACTCAGAGGGGACAGCCAGAACTTCAGAGGGGAAGAATGGGATTTCCTGGCATCACCTGTAGGACAGGGAATCAACATTTTGGGGATAAAGTTGAGGAGTTTTATTTCCACTGGATAGTGGGAATCAATGCAGGACATATAATGGATGTTTTTGGTGGGAAAATGTGAGGGGATCTCTAGGGGGAATAGTTGGTTTTGGGAAAAGGCAGGAAAACTCTCAGGTAATGTGGGAAGGATAGACAGAGAAAATTTTGTGATAAAAAACCTCAGGTAATTTTTGAAGGCCAGAAAGAAAATTTTAAAGGTGGAACCTCAAGCAACATGCAGGAGACTAAATGAATATTTTAGAAGGAGAAACCTGAGGTAATTTGTATGGGACAAATAAGGAACAATTCTGAGGCAAAATCTGACACAACTCAGTAAGGGGAAAAATGATATTTTGGAGAAAAAATCCAAGGTAATCACTAGGTGGCATTTTGGGGCTTAAATCAGAGGTAATATATAGATGTAGATGAGGAGGTACAAAGGGAAAATGTGAGGTAATCTCAACGGAAGAGAACATTCTGGAAGGAAAATCTGAGGTAACCGATAAGGACCAGAATGAACACTGAAGGAGAGGTGGGTGACCCTAGTGATGATGAGGTGGCGTGCGTGTCCCTGCGGGCAGGTGGGTGCCGCTGCGCTGTTGATGGCCCTCGAAGCCGCTCTCTCCGCTCCTCTCGGTGAGGCGGCGGCCGGGGTTCCACGTGCAGGCCGGGAGGCGCCCTTGGGCAGCCCCTGGCCTGAGGCAGAGGAGGAATGGACGGTTCTCCCTGGTCTGCACGGTGTTTCAGTTGGCGGGAGGAAGAGATGGTAAGTCTGAGGGGAGAAAAAGATCGTCATGGGGGTGGAGTGCTGCAATTGCCTGGCATCACCTGGAGAGCACAAAATGAACATTTTGGTGTAAAATTGAGGAGTGTGGGACCAAAAACTGTGGTGATCATGTGTGGAAATTTTTGGAAGGAAAACCTTTCCTCTACAAGCGAATATTGGTATTGGAGAAATGTGTCTGAGGTAATTTTGGGAGATTTTGCAGAGAATATTTTGTGACAAAAGCCATGGTCATTATTAATGGCCAGAAGGAACATTTTTTGGGGGTAAAATCCAAGGTAGTCTGCAAAGCACTGAAGGAATATTTTGGAAATAAATTCTGAGGTAATCCGAAATGTCGGCAATGGACACTGAGGGAGAGGTGGCTCTCCAGGTGATGCTGAGGGGATGAGGGTGTCACTGAGGGAATGTGAGTGTCACTGAGGGGACATTTGTCACTGGGCTAGTGGCAGGTGTCCCATGTGTCGCTGAGGGAATCACTGGTGACTGAAGGAGTGGCCGATTGCCCGAGTTCTTGTGAGGGGCCGTGAGTGTCCCTGAGGGGAGGGGGATGTGAAGCCCAGAGCTGGGCTGGAAACCAGTGGTGATCTGGTTGCTGCAGAGCAGGTGTTTGTGTATTCAGAGCTGGGAGTGAGGTGGATGTCTCTGCCAAACCTCACTCAATGTTGTTTTGTCGTCAGTTTCCTTCTCAATTGTAAAGTCACAGTTACAAAGTATCCTTTGCATTCTCATATTTGTGTGAAGCTGTGTATGTGAGTGTCACTGAGGGGACATTTGTCACTGGGCTAGTGGCAGGTGTCCCATGTGTCACTGAGGGAATCACTGGTGACTGAAGGAGTGGCCGATTGCCCGAGTTCTCGTGAGGGGCCATGAGTGTCCCTGAGGGGAGGGGGATGTGAAGCCCAGAGCTGGGCTGGAGACCAAAACTCTGTGGTCAGGTGGCTGCAGAGCAGGTGTTTGTGTATTCAGAGCTGGGAGTGAGGTGGATGTCTCTGCCAAACCTCACTCAATGTTGTTTTGTCGTCAGTTTCCTTCTCAATTGTAAAGTCACAGTTACAAAGTATCCTTTGCATTCTCATATTTGTGTGAAGCTGTGTCCTGGTTCTGTGAGAGTTTGTTAATTTTGCTTTTGCGTCAGTTTCTTCTGTGTGATACTCTGCCTGGTGGTGGTCTTTTGATGAAGACTTCTGTTGTCTTCATTAAGCTTGCAGTGTTTACTTCTGTCTTCAGACAATGGTTGGTGCTTCTTTGTTGATCTCAGGCTAACTTGTTTTTAGGTATTTTTGCAGTCTGCAAGTTCCATTAAAATTTGCTATTTTGCTCATTGCGGTGTTTGCTACCTCACTGGCATTGCTATCTTTCTTGTTTCACCTGCACATATTGGTGCAATCTTACTTGTTGCAATCTTGTTATAATGACTTGATATACTATAATGTGTAGTTTTTTGTTATTAACGCTTAGGATTCAGATGCCATTTGTGTTTCCCTGAGGGGGAATATGAGAGTCTGATTGGAGGGGAGGCAGGTGCCCCGTCCTCCTCTGAGGGGCCGTGAGGGTCGCTGAAGGCTGGTAAATGCCCTGCGTGCTGCTGAGAGGGCAGGCGGGCACTGAGGGAGCGGTGAGCGCCCTGCCTGTTGCTCAGGGGACACGAAGGTGATTGGAGGGGGAGGCAGGTGCCTCGGTTGTGGCTGTGGAAGCTGTGAGAGAGTCATGCGGGGTGCCCTGCATGTAACTGAGGCGGTGGCAGCTGCCGTGCGTGCCACTGAGGTGGCGTGCGTGTCCCTGCGGGCAGGTGGGTGCCGCTGCGCTGCTGATGGCCCCGCAGGGCGCGGTGCCCGCCAGGGGGCGCCCTCACCCCCAGGTCCCCTCACGCTGAGGGCGGGAACTCGAGGCTGCCCTGTCCACCAGGGGGCGCCCTCACCCCCAGGTCCCCTCACGCTGAGGGCGGGAACTCGAAGCCGCTCTCTCCGCTCCTCTCGGCGAGGCGGCGGGCGGGGATCCAGGTGCGGGCCGGGAGGCGCCCTCGGGCAGCCCCTGGCCTGGGGCAGAGGAGGAATGGACGGTTCTCCCTAGTCTGCACGGTGTTTTGGTTGGCGGGAGGAAGGGATGAGGTAAGTCTGAGGGGAGAAAAAGATCGTCATGGGGGAGGAGTGCTGGAATTGCCTGGCATCACCTGGAGGGCACAAAATCAACATTTTGGTGTAAAATTGAGGAGTGTGGGAACAAAAGCTGTGGTGATCATGTGCTGGAAATTTTTGGAAGGAAAACCTTTTCTCTACAAGAGAAATTTGGTTTTGGGGAAAAGTCTGAGGTAATTTTGGGAAGCTCGGCACACAAAACCTGAGGTCATTTTTAATGGCCAGAAGGAACATTTTTTGGGGGTAAAATCCAAGGTTATCTGCAAAGCAATGACGGAATATTTTAAATAAATTCTGAGGTGATCCGAAAGGTTGGCAATGGACACTGAGGGAGAGGTGACTCTCCAGGTGATGCTGAGGG